AATGAGTGAAAGTAAAAATCATTAATGACAATTAATGCATACTTTATTGAGTTACGTACATTATTAACATACGAGGGCTTATAAGGTTCACAATGATCAGATAATAAACACCTTAGGCCTTTCAGGAAAAGTCTAAATCAGTGAGCAGATTATTGTAATCCAATGTAGCTCGTTGGGAACCCTAGTTCGAATATGTGTTCGGCTCTGGAACACATTTCCAGGCTAAAAGAAGCTTCTACAGAGAAAATCCTTTTACCAGCTCGGAAAGATGTCTGTAAATCAAGTTTGAAATGACAAAATATTTTCTCAACCAGAAAAACATTCGTCTTCTTCATTTCTATATTTATAATATGTTTTCTTGTGTTTCTATATTTTATAAAAAATCTGGTTGACGACCGATTTTGATTTCATTTGTGTATCATACCTGTTACATCTCTTCTTAGATGGTAGAACGTTAGAAACATCTTGTACAAAGGATAATAATAAATAAAATAAATCGACTGCTTGTTTAGCTGGTTTATTATCTCCATATTTTTATTTTATTATTTTGCTGTTTTTAATGTTATTTAACTTTCAATTGAGGGCCAATCTTATTCTCTCTATCATATATGTTTGTATACGTATGGTGTTCAGAAACCGATATTGTGTTCAGAACAAACCAAATCATAATTTTAAATTAAATTCGACTAACCTTAAAATATGAATATTAAATAATATTTTTAACGCCTTATATACAATGTTGATTATCTACTTTATCAGTATTTATTATAAGTAAAGTAAAAAAAAAAAAAATCAGATATAAACTACCGGTCAAATTGTTGTTGGACTCACACATGGATTTTGTAAAATAAATAAAAAATAAAATCATCCATAATGACTTTAATTTTCCATATGTTTCCGATTTGGCCCAATCCAGATACCTATGCTTCCATAACAAACTTCAGTAGCATCCGAACCGTCTCGTTTCAAACCCTTGCTTCCTCCTCGATCTCTGATAACTCTCCGAGGAGTCTGAAAAGAAGGTGGCCTCGTGATCTTCTTGTGTAAATTTATTATTTGAAATTGATTACATTTACTAGATGTATATTTTTTTTATAATACAGTAATAAATTACAAAATTTGTATGTCTCAAATAATAACAAATCAGCATTATTTTGATAAATAAAAGTAAAATTATTACACAACTATAATTTTATTTATAAATTATGAATATTGTCCTATTTTTGATTTTTTGAAATATCTCCCTTTTCCCTTAATCAGAGAATTGCACATTTTAATATTCTTTATATTAATTTTTGTAATGTTCTAGTTAAAAAAATTGTTTTGATTGGTACGCAGTATCTTCCGATCGTTTCACTCGAGTTCATCCTAGAACAGTTCAATGGAATTATTGAGATCAAGTGATTCAGTTAGACACTCCATGTATTTAGCTACTTTTTGCTTGTCTTTTATGCCAATGAAGTTTCTACGCAATTTGAAGGAATGTTTCGGAACATTAGCCTGCTGGGAAACAAACTCTTGGCCCACATTTTCTCCCCTCATAGAAAATAGAAATATATATATATATATATGGTTTCCTCTATTCCGACGAGATATCCAAGTTTGTCGGCTGCAAAACATCCCCAAACCATAATTGATCCTCCACCTTCCTCCACAGTATGTATTATACACTGATTTATCACGCGCTCGCCAACCATACGACGGACATACTTCCCAAAAGATCAAAATTTGACACTATATTATTCTACATTTTAGTGTGTTCCTATAATAATCGTGAATATTTATATTGTTTGCATAATTATAAGACAGGCATAACTACCTATATGATTTTTCGATACTATTATTTTTACAGGTCAAACCTTATTTCACTCTCACTAACTGAACTGATTCGAATACCTTTAAGCAAAAAAATATAGCGTTTACTCCCTCCCCCTTCCTTCACAAAATAGCATTCCAAGGCATTATTTTTTATTTTTTTTTTTTAGATTAACCTTATAATTAATGATTTTATGTTTAAGATTAATGTAGTAGGCGAACTATACCAGTTATTCTAAATAAAACTTAATTGGCGAAACCCCACATCAAGATCGGTGACATTGCTGGCGGACTCGTCAAAGTTTTCCGGAGAAGTTGTACAGGTGGAGTTGGAAGTTGGCTGTGTCAGTTTCGAAGCTGTATATGTTCGGCACAACTTGTTTTCAAACTTCCAAGTTCCCAACATCGGAAATTATCTGCGGTACACCCTGTATGTTACTTGTGGATGAACGAGTGAGCGAATTGATTTTTTTTTTTCTATATCCCCCTGAGGCACAAAGTGGCGTGAGGAATGTTTTGATATGATGAATTAGATATGTCCGTAATATTTATATAAATTAGTCGTTTAACCAATTTTATCGTATCATAAATAGCTGGGCCGCCATGAGCTATATTTGGGCCATGACAAAATAGTATAGCGAATCTTCCTCTAATTCTATATTTCATTTTATTTTAATTGTTAATATATATGCGGAATAGTTCTAGGTAGCGTCAAACGGTGTATAAATGATATTGACATTTCTCATCATATTTCCGTATTCAAAAGAAATATCAAATTCCATCTACATTCAACATTAATTAATAATTTTATGTAGAGTTTAAGAAATCGTAATTTAGAAGAAAACAAGTTTTAATACCATGCGTCCGCCTTGTCCTGACGTAACATTTTCGGTTTGCAGATCTCTAACAAATGTCAAAAGTCCCACTAAAAACTTAAGGCTTTTTGTACTATTTTATTTTCCTTGGTTCTGAACGTTGTGGGTTCGATTACCACCTGGGTCAGTTAATTTTCATTTTTGGGGGGATCCGGAAAATGGATGTTGATATTCCCTCTCATGTAAGTATACGGCGGCAACCTCCTCAGAGTCAGGGCTAAGTAAAAAGGACTATGAGACCCACTTGGAGGACTAGTTCCCCCATCTGTATAAGTACCATTTAATTTACTAATTAATACCCAGAAAATAACCTGTTTTTACATGAGAAGAAACAGGATAAAAGCAGGAACTGAAGAAACGTGCTCAGAAGATTTTCAGCTATTCAATTTTCTATAACGTTCCGGTTTTCCCCTCTCAGTTATATTTCTCACCGATTGTTGACTAAATTAACAGGTTATAGATTCTGAAACCAGCCGTTACTTTATTTCTAATGTAGAGTTAATTAGTGCTGGATATTGCTTAATCTCTCGATAGAGTTATCATTTTATTATTCAATTAAAAAAAAAAAAATAGTATGATCTCATTAGGATTCGTATTATCTCATTAGGATTTATTATTTTTTTCAGCATTGGTCGTACATTCTCAAAACAAGTTCAAACTTTGCTGGCAGTATAGTTCATTGGAAGTCTTTGGCCGACTAAAAAAAAAAAAAAAACTCCTTAAAAAGGTGGAATATCGTTGATTAAGGAATATATTTTTTTTACATGAATTTTGATAATTTAACCAAACTTGAATGCTATATTATTTGTATTACCCGTTTACTGCTATGTATCGGCAATCATTTGATCTGTTTTTTTTACTAGCACCTATTTTGTTTTTTCTCTTTTTATTTTTTAATTCACAACTGTCAATGTTTATTGACAACCAGTGAATATGATGGAAAGAAATAATTAAACTAAAAGAAAGGGCTAGTTAGAGATGAGGAAGAGAATTGTACACTGGCAGTAACTTGTTTATCAAGGAGATCTCTCATCCAACTCCTTTTCAGCCCTCCACGGATGTTATCGGCCATGTTTTTAATGAACATGTCTTGAATGAGTCTGTTGATGTGACCATAAAGCTTCTTGTGAAATCTATTGTAACAAGTTAGTAAGTGTTTAGTGACGGTTTGCATGTGTAAATTCCTTTAGAGAGTTATGTTACTAGCATAACTATTTGTTTGTTTAATTGTCCTGAAAGCTTTGGCCTGGGATATAATTAGTTTCTGAATGTGCGTTTTTGTAGCAATTCCATATATTTGTGAAGCGTGTGTTCAAATTGGTTTTAGTTGGCTTCAATGAGGCCCAAGAAGGGATTATAACAGTCGAAATCTTTGATGTGATGTCTTTCATTTTATCAGTGATGTGTGGGCCCCATGTCATCCTTTTGCCAACTGTTAGACATAGCTGATGTACTTCCTCAGATTGGGGGTTCATTTTCGGGATAGAAAGAAGGACAGGTCTCGTGTTGGGCTGAGAATGTCATTAATCGGGATTTATTGTGATTCAGTTTTATTTTCCGAAGTTTTCACCAGTCGTGCAGCAGCTGTATGTGATTTCCTCAAGTATGTGAGGCATATATGGGATCTTTGCGAGTTGTAATAACAGTGGTATCATCCGCATATGTTAGTATCCACTTTGGACATGGACAAACTGCTGTGCCGCTGAGGCCCGCGTGAAATCCCCGTCCTGGTGTTTTCCTCTTTCGGGTCACCGACATGGCCTGGGAAGTCAAGGATACTTCGTGAGCACGTCTTGCCGGTGGCGACCTCTGAAGGCTGTTGGCCCAACTTGTTTGCAACATTTTCGCAATACCTTGTTCAGAACCAGGTCCATAGCCGCTCTACGTCCTGTTTGGTAGTTGTGGCTATCAAATTCCCACATAATTCTATTATTTGCAATTACTTTAACCACTGACATTTCTCTTGTTATTATTATTTTTTAATAATTACGACAATTAAATAATTTAATCTAAATAGATTTTATGAAATGTGATGAAAAACCTTATCTTTAAACCACTCTTTAATAATCATAATTTATTGACAAGGTCTTTAAAAAAAATCGTGTGATTTTGTGTCTTATTATACTTGTTAATGTGAACCACGCTGTTCATCTATTTAACATTCCATTGCTAAAATCATTCATTAAAATTATTTAATTTAAATTAATTACAATTTAAAACCAAACAATTAAATTGTTAAATGATTTTTTATTAAACTACACTATGAAGGTTATCAATTCGGCGTTAATAAAAAATAAAGCTGTTGACAAATAAAATTACAATTTATTTGCTTCTTCACTTTTAAATCAGTAATTCATTAGGTATAAGTCCATTCAGAAAAAGACTACCAATAATATTAATAATAAATTCACACATTAGGTTTGGGGTATTTCATTTCAAGTTAAATACCATTGTGTTTAATGTTGTATTGTAACTTTTGTTAAATGTTGCCGCTATTATAATGAATGGTCTTCTAAATAAAATGTCCACACTTTGTTTTGTTTTTAAAAATTGTTATATTGTCACAATATAAAATTCACTTCTACTGTTTATTTCATCAGACACTATGATCCATCTTCGGACTGGACTGTAATTGTTCTGTAGAGTTTTCGTTATAGATTTTTTAAAGCCTATTCATACTTGTTTCAAGGGTTGGTATCTTTTGCAAGGATTACCTAGAGATAGTCGCCCATTTCTAACCAATGTCATCGTTTCTTTCACGAGACCTCAATGTATCCAATATTATTGACTGACTGAATTGAGGATCGAACCCACGTACTCCAAACCAGGCACTCTCGGTCTTTTAGTTCTTTCTAAATTTATACACTTTCACTAGTCTTCATTATTATCAATTGTAATGATTAAGTTATAATAAGCTTATTTGGTTCTTTGGAACTAAGTTAGATCCAGTGGCTGAAGTTTCAATGTAATACCAACTCGGCCTCTTGTATATTTTGATGATTCCTCCTCTGGAGCTATTGATTCTATTTATCTACAAAAGTAACCAACCGCTGTTGTCTTGTTGCCCAATCGCTGGGCTTTAAATGATGGTTTGATTTGAATGAATTTCCTGGGCTTGGAGAAGTTCTGTTCGGCCACCAAGTTGCACAAGTTGCCGGTCCCTGACCCTCTTCAACTGTAACTCGATTAAGGAGGAAGTGCCCCCGGTCCCAGGAAGTTGTCTGCACAGAGGTCGTGGCGAACTTGTTAATACTCTTCTTCCTATTGGCCAACTTCGTGAGTCGACTTCCGTCTCCGATGAGTTACAAATATATCCATTTAAAGTTTCAACTCCGCTTCTTGTTCGGTATGTGTTACACAACTCTCCATGATGCATTGAACCGATGATGTCCTACTTTGACAATATGGGTTTTTCTGACTGGTTCTTAAATAATCAAGAATGTTTTCTTATTTTGGCCGCGGTAGATATAAATATCTTTCTTTTAAGATTTATATTAATGAGTACCATACTGAACAGATACGAAACCTTAAGTTGTTTTGTATCACATCTGTTTAACGCAATAAAGGCTTTTCGCCGCATATATTTGTTTTAATAGAATTTGTTGTTAAGTATTGTTTGTAAATTTGAGTATGAATTTTTACATATTATTTCTGAAAAGAGTGGTTTTTTTTTTTGTCGGTACATCATTTCTTCTGAAACTCTTCATCAAATTTAATGGTTGAGTTGGGAAAAATAGTCACAACCTCTCGAAATCACAGGGAAAAACGTTATGAAGGAAAAGAAACTTTATTTGTGAATAACTCAAAAAATATACATGTTTTGTTTTGATTGCAACCATGGTTATTTGAAAGATAACTAAATTCCATACAATACAAAAAAAAAAAAAAAAAAAAAAAAAACAAATATCGAATTTGGACTCTTATTAGCAAATGTACAGGTTATAGTAATTCGTAAACATGTTCATTTTAAAATAATTTTCTTGTCCTTGGTCCATTGCAATTATACGAGAAGATTAGGATCGATTACTTCATCTTGTGATATGATGCATTTTTTCACCTCATTATTTTTTCATTTGTTCTTCTACCAATATTCTATGCGAATTATTCACATGGGCCAAATTGTAATATTTATAAGAAAAATACTTAACAATGTCAGTTTTATTTATCAATCCCTGAGTAAATTTATATTTATAAGACCGAGATAACGAAGTACAATTTGTTCAATGTAATTTGAGACAGGAAAGCTTGTTATGACTAAAATTTGAAAAACTTTTTTCCGGAGTCTTAGGTTACCTATTATTATGTTTTTCTTATCTTGGACTGATTTTTAGGATCGTTTTTGCGTTTTAAACATGGAATAAAGAAGCCTTTTTTTTTTAATGGTTTTAATAATTTACATACATAGCTCAATATGCAACAAAAAAATTGTAATTTTTTAATTATTGATCTGAAAAATTCGTTCCAATAATTGAAATCTAAAGGAAATCATGATCCAGATGTTGAAATTGCTGAGAGATTAGAATGTATTGTTACAACTTTAAAAATTTATGGATAAATTTTTAATTTTATCAATTCTAACAAAAACAATTGTAGTAAATTCCCAGTGTCTTATTTAATTAATTATGTTTTCTATTTTAATATTAACTGATCAAAAATGAATACATATATTAATTATTTATTCTATAATATATAATAAATATATTATTTATAAATATATTTAGACTAATTGGCCCGTGCGAAAAATTCAAAGAAAATTTTGATTAGTGAAGGAATAGCAAAACAATATGGAAATAAGTAGTTTCTATGTGTTATCTGAGGGAGGAATTAATTGTTTTTCCTTGGTAGATTACAATATTTCATTTAACATAGTAGACCAAAATATTTGTATAAATTCCTTTTCTTGGGCCTATTTTTTAACTCTACGTAGAAAGATAATAAAGGTAATAAAGCAAAAAAAAAAAAAAAAAAACAATCTTGGGATTTTATAGATTATTAAAAAATATAAAATGAGAGAAAAAATCAACGCCTTTAAGTAATAATATAGTTAATATATCAGCCAAGAAAAAAATGTAGAATAATAATAAATGCAGTATCTTTTCAGATGTAAAAAATATTAAGTATACCAAAATTAATAGACTGTATCTTTGTAAATAATTGCCCGATTTTTTTTGTTTTGTAGGTAATTTAGTAATCTTTTTAATAATCCTGGATACTATCGTTGAAAAAATTCATACTATTTGAGTTGTTCGCAAATATAGTTTCTTTTCCTTCATACCTTTTTTCCCAGAAATTTCTGGGGGATATGACTGTTTTTCGCATGTGAAGGAGGGAAATATCTTCAAAATGAGTGGTCAATCATTGGATTTAATGAATAATTGACAAAATTTTGGTGGATCGACAAAAAAAAAACTCCTTTTAGAAATAATATATAAGATTTATTTTATATATAGCCTGCTTACTTAAATTATTTTAATTGTTTATGTTAATTTATTTGAGTAAATGTTGATTGGGTTTTGTTTTTTAAATTTTTATCAACTTTCAGGATTTATTGTCTCATATTTTGTTTCATATTTGTGATAACATAATCTCGTACTTTTGTACATATTAGCTGTTTATTTTACACAATAATTCGATCCTTAGTTATACAAATTTGAAAAAAAAAAAATTAAAAAGAAAGAAATCTACGAACAGTTGATGTATTTAGGTTTATTCTGAGGCTTATTATTACCTTACACCGTTTTAATTTATATAGTCCGTGCTACAGACCCCTTTTTTATCAAATTATTAGCATCCTGCTAAAACATCGTAAATAGCTCCATCTCATTGTAACCTACAAATATTTTATTTACTATAATTCTGGGTATTGGAACGTTTTCAATCTGGAGGTCGGCAACTTTGTCTATTTAATGAGGTACTAAAAACTCGTAAATACGCATTTGCTTTCCACTTGAATCGTAAGCAGACTTGATCACAAAGTCGGAAAAACACGTGGCCTTAAAAAATATAGGCAGCACAAATCAATATTTTTGAAGGTCTCCTTTTTTCCCAACATTGTGCTCAAATTATCTTACGATGCAAATGAAAAGCAAACGAGCATTTTAAGAGTTTTTAGTACCTAATTAAAATGAAAAAAGTTTGTCGACTTCCAGATTAAAAACGCCCCGAGTACGAGAATTTTCGTAAATAAAATATCTGTAGCTTACGATGAGATGAAGCTATTTATGAAGTTTTGCCGGATGTTAATAATTTGATAAAAAGAGATCTGTACCACGGACTAATAGTACACAAAAGTATAAATAAGTTTACAGAAATAATTCTTTTGAATTTAAATCGAGAATGATTTAGAGTATTACTTAGTATGTTGTTTTCTTGTTATTTATAGCATTAGGTAAAGTTCAAACTATAAACTCTTGGAATCGGGGCGTTTTAAATCTGGAGGGAGGCAAACTTTGTCTATTTAATTAGGTACTAAAAACTCGGTAATATCCATTTGCTTTCTACTTGGTTAGTAAGATAAGTTGATCAGTAAATCGATAAAAAAGGAGGCCTAAAAAAAGAGGTTATATTAGGCCGTTTGTCCTATATAACCTCGTTATTTTGAAATTTTGGGAGTGTAGTCACGCCGAACGGCTCAATATTTTTGAAAGCCACCTTTTTTTCTCTACTTTGTGATCAAATTATCTTACCATCCAAATAGAAATATAATGTGCATTTACTAGTTTTTAGTACATAATTAAATAGACCAAGTTTCTTCCTCCCTCTCCAAATTTAAAACGCCACACCGAGAATTTTCGTAAATAAAATATCTGTAGCTTACGATGAGATGAAGCTATTTACGAAGTTTAAGCCGGATGTTAATAATTTGATAAAAGGAGATCTGTACCACGGACTAATAGTACACAAAAGTATAAATAAATTTACGGAAATAATTCTTTTGAATTTAAATCGAGAATGATTTAGACTATTGCCGAGTATTACTTAGTATGTTGTTTTCTTGTTATTTATAGTATTGGGTAAAGTTCAAACAATAAATCTAGAGATTGTTTTCCAGTAGTGGTGTTGTTTCAGCCGAAAAAAGGTTCGCTCACGAGTACACTTGGTTTGTTTGTCTCGTCAGTCCTTTGTGGAAGTGGCTTTCTATGTCCTCTATGTCCTTAGAAGTCGTCAATAACCCTCCTGGGTTCTTTATGTCGGGGGCTGTACTTGATGACTTGTATTCGTGAGGGGAGCGAAAAAAAAAACCATTCAGTTTATTCTATATAATTAAGGTAAAAATATAGTCAATAGTTAATATATTTTAATATTTGGAATTTTTTTAGTGAAAATTTCCTTTAAAAATTAATTATAATAAAAATTAGGTTTGTTTTGAACTTTCTTGTGGAGAGTGAATTAGATTGATCCTTCAGATTTCCGAAGTATTAACGCTCGGGTAAAGTCGGCTAGGGTCGACTAATGGTTCTACATATGGATTAAAATCTCCCAGAAACTAAAAATCGGGCCTGCAAACTGTAAGCGAAGAAATTGTTCAGCATTTCCTCCTCTCTTTAATAGGTTATAAATAAAAAGTGTATCTTAACGCTGCGCCGTCTTAGGGAGGCGAAAAATAAAAAAAAATAGTGTCGAAAACCAAAAGATAAGGTTTGTTGAACATAAGGATTAAAATATTTCAGATACTAAAAATAGGATCTCTATACTGTTAGCGAGGGAAATGTTCAGCATTTCATCGTCTTTGTAATGAGCTTTATTTATTTTATTATTTACAATTTATATTTCATATTATTAATCTCGCCTTGTTGATTTTTTCACTTATATGGTGTAGTCTAAAGCACACACCTTAGTGTTTTTTAAGCTCAGTGTCGAATATTTTAGAAAATTATTTATTGTTTGGTGCCTAAATATATTGTTTCGTAAATACATATTGTCAGTATAACATATACAATAATTAAAACAAAATTTGCAAAATAGAACAGTTTTAGATGTCTACATATTTGAGAATCCAGTGTATTGAAAATGTTCATTTATCTAGATTAGTGTTGCCCAAATGCAAGACCGAGACGAGTCTTGCAAACTTAGTCTTGGTCATGGTCTTAGTCTTGCTCAAAAGTCTCGCAACAGTCTTGTAGTTACTTATTATCTTATTACTTACTATAGAGATATTACTATAATTTTTTAGATAGGAGAAACCTAACTAAGCCCGAATCAAAAATTAGAGGAGTTAAATGCAAAAGGATATATATATATATATATACTAATTATTAACTTATAGTAACTAAGATTGTCAAGTATTAGTAACTATATTACTATTTGTATTTTAAAAAATCGATTTTTTTTACCAATCCTGGTCTTGTTCTAGCAATGTGCAACACCATGACCGATTCTGTGCAAAACTAATCTCGATAGTAAGCCATCTTAGGATAAAACTGGTAAACTTAAAGTCAAATTTTTCCTTAGTTGTCTAATTCTCTTATCGACAATTTACCTGTGATTCTTCTAATTTACAGAAAAGAAGAACCTTAACAAAAATTGTTTGTTAATGG